AAGATTATGAATGATCTAATGAGAACTGATACTCATACTATGCTAAGCATCGTAACATGTCATATCAATCTATCAATAGATAAGAAATTTAATTCAAATCTTAAAACCTATCGTAAATTTATCCACCAATAAATTGATATGTCATGTTATCGATACTTATAGTAACATGATTACCCATGCTTATGTTCTAAAGTTTTAAAATATTGGTGCGTACACTGACCCAACTTGATGGGTTAAACAAGAAAAAAATCAAATTTGACTTAAAAATTGTTTCAATTATGATTTAAATATTATACATCAACTGTCTAATGGAGGCTTCACTGAAGTAGATTGATCTAGATATAGTTCTTAGACTTTCTAGTCGAGATCAACAAAATATGTTGTGACGATTTTACTCTATTGATCAAGATTATGAAGACGTTATGAACTTCTTCACGTACAATAACAAATTTACACATCTTTTAAGTAGTAAGTTTGAAAGCGATCATTAGTTGGAGAAATATTTCGCTCAGGGCATGGTGCAGGAATAGTTATTTTACCGGATAGATTATTTTATTTTATTTATTATGATTTTGGTAAATTAGTAGTAATTATCGTACCTTAACTTCGTCACCAGTCGATGGATAAAAATCATCATCTCCAGCTTGGCAAGTTCATTTCCAGGACAAGAATGGGCCCCATTTCCAAATGGCATGTAAGTATTGGGTTTTGGGGCAACCTGCAGCCACAAAAAATTAATAAAACATGACCTCAAAAATTTATATTTCTTTTTATTTTACTTTTCTAGAAATGTTTAGAAAATATGCTTTTCTGTTCCATTATTTCATACCTCAAATCTGTGTGAATCGAAATTTTGAGGTTCATTGAAATATTCTGGATTGTGATGAATATTCCTAAATAGTGGCATCACCTTCCAACCTTTGGGAATAAGATAACCTGTCAATATATTTCACGTGTCAACCTCTTTCGTATTTTATTTCAAAATACATTGAAATAGAAAATTATGACCGGCGTTTCCGTTAACATGCTTTTGATTGGAGAATCTGAGTCCCCTCAAGTGACGGATATCGTTAACGTGGACAATAAAATTACGTAACCTATATTCGGAGGAAATATTGTCAAGATTCAGTGGTGGGGTCAGATTCACATATTTAACATTAATTTCACGTAAGATTTTAACATTCATCATGATGTTTTGCATCACTTGGGGATCCAGATTCACATATTTAGATTAGTTGAGGACTAAAAAGCTCACTTTATAAGGTTGAGGAGCCAAAGTCAGGGTTAACTATCCCAACCCTAATACTATACCTTTTAATGAATTACTAGCATACTTACCATTATATTCCATATCAACCACAGCTTCCCTAAAGGTGAAAGACACTATGCTGGACATCCTCAAGCTCTCCAAAATGACCTGCCAATGTAAATGTTGCTAGATGACTCTTCCGTTTTTGTGTACGATTGATTAAATATGATTACAAGTGATTGAGAAAGAGGTGCACGTAACAAGATGAGAACAAATATTGACATTTTTTATTCTTAAAAATTGTTTTAACATTTACGTCAGGGTACCTTATATGTGAATGGCATATTTCTAGTTTGAGCCCATGTCAATGGCCTCTTTCCTTCATCATTTTCCATATAGATTGCTTTTTGTTCTGCCTGCAGTGATTGTCACAATTGTAATTCGTCGAACTTTAAGATAGAATCTAAAATACATTCATCCCTTTAAGCTTTTAGTCGAGGTAGTTTAACAAGTAATTACCTTAACGGCTTCAAGAAGTTTCTGGTCGTCATTAAGGTATTTGAGAATCCATGTTATAGTGCTTGCAGTCGTATCTTGAGCAGCAAAAAGAACTCCAATAATATTATCAGAAATTTCATCCTCTGTTAAAGTTTGCCCTTTTTCGTCTATGAAATTGAGCAAATGCCCCAAAAGGTCCTTTTCCAATAATTTTTTCTCCTTTCTCTCAGAGAGTATCTCACTAAGGATCTTCTTAAGCCTTTTTCTTGCCTAATTCATCACGAAAACCAGTCAATTGTAAATTTTTAACAGCGTGTACCTTAGGCTAATACTGTTGTACATGCTGTTACTTATTTTGTACCTGCAGAGCTTTGTGATATGCAGTTCCTGGAATATTTGTAGGGAAAGAATTATAGCCTTTATCTATTATGCAGTAGTTTTCCTTCAGTTCTTCCCTCTGTTTTTTCTCCAAGTGGCCAAAAATAGCTAAAATGCCCACTTCAAAAGCGAACTGTAGACGATTCATGACAGGTATTAGAAAAATGTGGAGGACCCTACTCATACAAGCAAAATATGAAGTCGACTAATCGGATTTTTTATTTTTTATTATTATTCAGTTGAGTTCATTGCTAGATATACTGGAAGCGTGAAAAACCTTTTTCAATCCTTGGAAAGTGTTAATCACTTGTCCAGAGGTCCATGACTCCAAGGTTGAGATGGCTATGGCTTCAATACCAGGAAGTAGTTTCCGCAGAAGCTCGAGGGATAATGAACTCTGAACTAGCTTCCGGAGGTGGTTATGGTAGTCTCCTTGGTGGAAAAACAGGGCGGAGGGCCCGATCATTTTCTCTTTACTCTTCGGATATGTGGGCTTGAACAAGTGAGCATGAGTCACCAGCACAAATCGAGCCGCTTCCGAACTTGCCAGCATAACACAAGGACACCCGAGAATATGTGTTTTGAATATTTCTCCATATCTGCATGAGATAAACACCATGCACATCAGATCCTAAGTTCTTTAAAAACCCAGAAAAAAATAAGTTAAAATCTTGTCTGTTGACGGTCGTTTTGTCGAGAATCAATATTCTATAACGAACATGCAACGTCCCAAGAAGTAAGAAAAGAATACCTTTTTTGCTTATTAGAAAAGAAAATATTTGGGTCTTTGGAGTATAACTGGAGAGTCTCTCCAAGGTAAGGCCAACCCATGGAGCCTGGTGGCAATTTGAGTCTTCCTTTATATTTTTTGTTCTGTTTTTTTGATAAATAATATGAGAAAAGAGTAGAAAAAAATAGAAGACATATGATAGAAGAAACGATATCCATAGAGAATGCTTCCTTTCCCCTTGAAGCAAGTTTATATGGAAGAGATTTCGGAATGAAAAATCTGTTGAGTTTGAGGTTGAGAAGAGTATGAAGTGTGATTTTCAAGTGTCAGTGAATGAGGATTTGCAAGTGTCAATGAATGAGATGATCAGTGATAGAGAGGAGAAAGGTTTATGGTTTATATAGAGCCATAAGGGTTAGTGGACAGCAATGGGAGAATGGGGTTTAGCAAATCTTGAATACTACAAAAGTACTACTATTAAATTTACGCACTAGCAATGTTGATGGATGTTGGACCACTATTTCCCTCGCGCTCACATGAACATGAGATGTGTTATGGCCAATACGAACTATGCCACGTGTTAACACGAAAAATTTCTGGTAAAATCTCGGCTCTCGCTCGTCAAGGATAGGAAAACCTTACTCAAGTAAAGGTCGAGAACTCCTTACTCCTTCAAATTGCATTTTGTGAAGTCTAGGAGCACATTTTATTGTGAAAGATAGAAGTTTGTAGAACGCAGACAATGATAAGATATTAAAGTTGTCCTCTTGTATAATGGAACATAGATTGTTTCCTACTTCAAATTTCTCGAGGTGACATGTTGGTTCTTAAAGGCAATCAAAGAATTAAGTCACCTACACAATCTTTGTGTTCCTCCCTTTTTGCTAGTTGCTACAAACTTTTCACAATATTGATTTGAGTTTCTTCTAGATGATCAATCATATATAGCAGTCACAATTAATTATTGAATCAATAATGATGCCTTTAAATGTTTTTACATTTGCATTCAACAATAAGGTTTAATTTGTCAACACTGGTTACCTCCTTAACCGTATAATGAACTCGAATATTTTGAATTTAGGAGTATATGTTAAATATTACAGTTGAGACATGAGAGAATTATAAATTACAATCATACTAAAAATAAATAAATTTGGAGACTATTTACTTAAGTAAATCAATCACATAAATATTTACTGTGAAGAAAAATGAGGTGGTGTGGCTTTTTAATTAATTTTCATTGAATTGTTGACCTTTGTTAGTTATGTGAAAAGTTGACTTTAACCATGTTTGAAATATTTTGTTTGAATTTATAAAATATAATAGTAATATTTTAGATTAATTAATTAATGCTGATTATATTGCACTAAAAGTCTCTAATAGGAGATTATTGTACTTTTGCTCCCCAATTTTTTGGTCGTGTTGTTATCCTCAACTATCATTAATTTGTAAAATTTATCATGATGACTTTTTTGTTCAAAAAATCTATTAGAAGTACATAAAAATATTTTTCTTCCAATGGTATTTTTATAAATAAGAAAAAGATAATCGAATACAAAAACCTAACATATATGGAATATGCCATTTGTATATAATACAGTGTCCATAACGATATCTACACTTCTCACATAGAGGGGAAACTACTTCGGATAAATTATATTTTAGGAATATACTACTTATACATAATGTTGTGTCTATAAAGTTGTTCACCCCTCTTACATGAAGGGGAATCCATTTCTGATAAATTATATTTTTATTCGAATTGGACCCTTTTCTATGTGAGGAGGATGAACATCGTTATGGATACCCTAATATACATATAGTATAATTCCTATATTTTATTCGAAATAAGTCCTCCACCATATGAGGGGAATGGAAACTCTAATATACATGTAGTATAACCCAAAGGGACCTTTTATAACACGGTAAGGGTAAAAATGTAATGTACACAAAATCCCGAAATCGCAAGGCTCCCATTTTTTTCCCAGTGAACCGGCGGTGCAATCCAACTTATGTACACCAGCAGTTTAGCATTTGATACTTTCTAGATCAATGGTCAACATGTCATGTCAAATTTCTGATGGACAAAAGTCGGTGATAAACGGTTAAGAATCTTCGGGACTTTGGGACCCTTTCTCTACTCATCTTCTCTGTGACGTCGTCCTTCATACAACCGATGGGCCTGCCAGTCAACGTATCTTAACGCGACACGTATGCAGGAACATGAGCTAGGACGGCAAGGGTCTGGTACAGTGTGGGCGAGACCATAACGAGGATAGTTACCTTATTTGGTAATATGTCGGCGCATTTAATGGCTAATGAATTCAATGGGTGACCTCAAATGAATGGAAATTCTTGCATGATAATGCGTTCAGACACAAATACTGAATCAATTTGATTGATACAAAAAGCATGTGAGATGTTTGGTCGAACGTGTTATGTATATTTTTGGGTACATATTATTAGGATTTGAAAAATATATAAATCATTGAGTAGTAAAATCTAAGAAATTTACATTATGGATGTCCTAAAAAGGAAAGATTAGCTCTGTCCTTATGTCTCGAGATGTAGGATTTACCGAGAAAAGAAGTTTAAGAAATATCAAATCTCAGCATATAGTTTAATTGTTACATTTTATGAATCGTTATGCAAAGTAGGTAGACAATTATGATTATGCCCTTAAGAGCAAGAAGAAGATCGAGCTCATTCAACTCAGTTCGTTATGTAAGTTCACTCGAAATATGAAACTTTTTCCTCACTAATGTTAAGGTCCTCCATCATTTTTTATTGTTGTTCTACACCATAATTCTTGTTTATTTTTTTATGATTTAATTGCATCAAAGGTCCTAAAACTTTGTTCATTGACACACTTATATCCCTAGCTTTTTCGTTATATTCTATCATCAATCTTTTATTAATTAGTACATATTTTCGTTGATGACGATTTATATCAAAATATTTTGTTATCATACGTGAAACAAGAAAAAAAAAATATTTTGTCGAACTTTCGTATTTGTTATTTCTTACTTATTTAAGTATATGATGGTCAATTAAGTCTTTTTACGTCCTCATCTAGATTTTTTTGGATAGAAACCATCATTAGAAAAAATATATATATGTAATCAATGGAGGATTGTGATAAGAATTCAACAGAAAAAGTTGGGACATACATACTACAATGAGCACATGTTAGAGAATTTCAATGCAATAAAATATTAAGAAACAAATAAAAATTATGATTTCAATATAACCAACGATAATAAACAAAAGTCAAAGATTTTTATTGCAATTAAAATGCAGTGTAACAAACAAAAATTATGTCGTGACTATAAACCAAAATTGACTGTTAACCATCCCCATTCCTAGGATTCTCAATCTTTCCACTTCAACCTCTTCGCATTATTCATGATATGCATGATTATACCAAAGAATATTTTTCAAAAGAAGAATGAAAAAAGGCAGTACGGTCCGGCACGGCACTTGACATTATAAATCAAAAAGATTCTTTAGGATAAATTTGTGACCAAATTTTCCACTCTTTACAGTAGCCATTCTTTGGGTCAACAGTAATTTAAAAGTCTCACTCCAAAAATGTTGTGACTTGTGAGTGAAGAGTACCAAAGAATCATCTCACTTTGATAGTGTGATTTGGGGTTTGCCTTTTGCATCAATTACTAGTTAGTTATATCCTAAATTAGGATTACAAAATGTGTACCAAAAGTTGAAAGTGACAGACCCACGAGGTTTACGTTATTAATCAATTATTTGAAAGGCATGTTTAGTATACAGAAAATACGTGGCAGAATTTCTTATACCAACTTAGATTGACACGGACAAAATGAAATAGGATATCATAACTTTGATTAACAGCCATATTTCATGACACCAATACAATTTTAGTCTATATTACCCAGAATTAAAGTCTAAGAAAATACTCTAAGCTCAATTAATTAGACTCACTCCACTTCAAGCACATTTCTACTATATTGATTTGAACATGGGACCTCCCACTTTGACACAAAGTCATAAAGGGTATTGTCATCATTTTGATGAAAAGTTATTATCCATAACACAAATGCGATATACCCTATATCACCAGAATCAAGTTCGAAAATCTACTTCAAGCCTACTCAGTTAGGTTCACCCTCATTTCAAGCATACTCCTGCAATATGAAATAAATCAAAGTCTTGTATACGTCAAAGATTTAGAAAAAATCGGGTACATGTTTGTTATTGTTGAATGCTATTCTATCTTTTTTGTTGAACATGCCACGTGTAATTAACAACATAGGAAATTCAATAGTAGCACGTCTCTTAATGATGTTGTGCAAGAAGAAGCATAATTTGGTCCTTTATTTCTAACGTGCATAAACCACACATGGTTCTTAGTTATTAGTTATAGATAAAGTGGTGGATTAATGTCAATGTCTATCAACTTATATGTGGCATTGGCTTTTAGGTTTTGTTTACATTTTAACCCATTTTGTCAACAACTTTATCCATTTTAGCCTTTTCAAGATCAAATTGATATAATCCAAATGGCATTTCTCAATTTTAACATCATCTTCATCATTGTCAACAATATTCTTATTTATCTAATTATATATAGCAACGTGGATCGAAATCTATAAAAAGTTTCATAAAGTAGATTGTAAGACATAATAAATATACTTAGAGAACTATAATTTTTAAAATCAATCATCCAACCTCGTCATTGTGACCTCTTTTTTGAGGAAACACCCTTTTTTGGAAGTAGCACAATAATAAAAACGAAAAAAAAAAAAAAAAAGACTTGGAGTATCTGCTTTAATTATCATTTACATTACGCATCTTGATTATTTAGATTTCAGAACTTCTAACATCGAAATTTACCAATATTCGAAAGATACGTGTCACACCAGTTTTCTATTCACTCTTAGATATATTATTTCCAAATTTGCTAATTGGTTTGTTTTGAATAAACAAAATAATAATAATAAATAAAATAAAACCGAGCATAATGAGTAATATTGAGAATAGAAAGGAGGGTTGTATCAAAATCAAGAAAATCTGGAGTTTTGCTAGAAAACAAACAGGGAATAATGGTTCATCTCTTCCTGATTTGGACCAGCACCGGATAAAAAGCTTATTCCATTTTTGGAATATACGGCTAAAAGTAGAATGAAAAATAAGCTGAATGCCCTAAACCCACTCATTTTCTCTTTACAGAATTAGGAATTTAGGTGACAATAAATAATTAAAGAAAAATTAAATTTGATGGTGATCTCAACAAGGGCTTAGTACAATTTTCTTGGAGCTAATTTTAAATTTGTTAAGCTAGAGTAACATTTAATTAATCTTTTTTTTTTTTTTTTTATTAACTGGTCGAGCAACTAATCATTTTTTTTTGTTGTTATATTTGATTTATGCTACGTCGTATAGAATCATTCTAGACAATAACGTAATGTCAAGTCTGGTTTAATCTACATAGCTGTGTAAAACGTTGTGTTCCTTTGGAACGGCACACAGTTCCTTAAATCTTATAATTTTATGTTATTTTTATTAATGTCAAGCAAGATCTACATACATCCTGCCTCCACACCCTAGCGAGCATGCATGGGAGAACAAGCTTTCTAACCAAACTTGGATTGTCTTAAAAGAGAATTGAATTATTGTACTTATTGACAGTTCGATATATTTATTCATCTAATTCTATAATTACCGATCTTTAGATTGCAATAAACAATAACCTCTTTAAACTTAACGAAACATGTCCCCCACTCAAATTGTCTTTGGAGCTTCACTTGTATTGATTTCAATTAAAGTATTTTGTATTTTAGAAATCAGTTTGCGTAATATATTGTATTTAATTATAAGATTCATGGAAAAAAGGGGTGGGGGTGGGGTGGGGTGGGGTTCATTGCACAATTAAAAAAGGGAATTTTATAAATTTTTAGAGATAAGTTTTCAGATTGAAAGAATATCATATATATCGATAATTGAAAGAATATCTCTTATCGAAAAACATCTCCAATTGAAAGAATCTCAAAATCTCTCTCTCTAACGCAGAAATTGATTCTAGAAACACATAAAAATCATCACGAAAAAAAAAAAAAAACTGCAGAAATTTAGAGAGAACTACACTTTCGACTTTGGAAAATATTATTCTTTTTTGACGTTATCAGTTTGGATTGAAACAATTTATTACTTGTCTGGATCCTCCCACTTGGCAGACAATTTCAAAATTATTATTTGTAGAGCACAAAATTTCATTTTTAACATACGTGGCTGTGCGAAAACCTGGCAGATTTTGAGCCTTCTCATTTTCATATCATCATCAATGTCTGCCTGCCATTGCCATAACCTCCTTTGTATATAATTCATAAATAATGATAATAACCCTAAATAAATGAAGTTTTTGTGTGTGGCTCTTGAATTTGAGGAGAGCATAGATTTACCATAATTGCTTGTTTTTATTTTTCATGTTATGTCTCCATCTAAATAAATTTGCTACGACTATTTGTTAGCGTTCGAATTAGGCCAATGAACTAAATTTCTGTTTAGTTAGTTGATTTTTTAATGGGAAAGCAATATATACATATACATACACACAATGTCCTATTACTATAGACAATTATGAGAGCAGCTGAATTTTGACTAATTTTAAGAGAAATGGACTCCTCGTTAATGCTAGTCATAATCAATTAATTGAACATAGAATAAAATAGCATTAACAAGAATTGATGGACGCAATTTACATTATAAAACTGCAAATAACACATACGAGTTAATAATTTATTTAGAAAAGAATATGGTAGAAAATTTATCGAATAAAAAAATCGAGGAAATATGTGTAAAATTGAAAGAAAAGTCCTCAGAATCTTTTTATTTTGGGGGTCTTTCCTGTATTTCCTAAACAGCGCTCAGTAGTCTTTAGAACCAATTATGTTTAGCATTTTAAGGACGCGTTTGACAGGATTTCCTTTTTTACTTATAATTTTTATAGAAAAGTTTCCTCGAAAAGGTGCTTGAAAATTAATTTATAAAAGAATTTCTTCTTTTGGTCAAAGCTCCTAAATAGAAGAAGCAATTTTTTAAATTTAATCAAAAAATATTAAAGCAAATTATTAATTTCAAATGCTCATTTTGATTATCAAAAGTCATGCCAACGAGCTCTAAATCTGTTTTCTTTTTCTTTTTTTTCTTTTTTCTTTTTTTGAAGGAGGGGGGGGGGTTTTTTTTTTTTTTTTTTTTTTTTTTTTGGGGGGGGGGGGGGGGGGGGGGAGGTGAGGATTATGTCAAAATGCATTATTAATGGTCCAAAAAAAGAGGAACCTTTTACAGGAAAAACAACCTGAAATCAAAAGCCCAAAATAAATTGGCCCATTGGGTTTCAAGGCCCACATTGTGAGATAGTCCTTGTTGGACCCACTCTCTAAAACTCCTTTTTTCTCAAAATTGTTTTCAACACCACATTTTACAATGTGAAAATTACACCCTTCCCTACATTAAAAATCCACATTTCTAAATTCAGACCCAATGTTTAGATATTCTAAAATCAGATGTTTTTAATTAATTAATATATATATAATATTTATTTTTAATAAATATATAACACAATTTCAACCCCAAACCCTAATTATATCCCTCATTTATTCTCTCTCCAAACCCGTTCATCTCAGCCCTCTCGCCTCTCTTCTCTCGTCTCTCAACATCCATCTCTTCTCTTCTTTATCTATGCCGATGACACAGCTATCTTCTCTCCTTCGTCTTTATCGACGACGCAACTTGCATCACTGTCGTGAGATGTAGTGTAGATTGGCGATACATTGTGGCGAGGTGGACGGGGTATTTGTGACCAATAAATTGGTTCAATAAATTGGTTTGTGACTTGTAATTTATTAAGAGCCTGTTTGGGAGTGATTTTGAGAATTGATTTTTTGACCGTTGGGAGAAAAGTGTGGTCCACCTGTGAGAGAAGAAATCAAATATGACGGCTGGAATAGTGAAATAACAGTCAAAAAATCAATTTTTTGGGTGAAAAAATCGAGCCCAAACAGGCCCTAATTTGTGACCATAAAATTAATTGTGACCAATTATTATGATATAATTTGTGACTGATAAATGAATTGTGATCAATTAAAATTTTGATTTTGAGACTAATCAATGAATTGTGACCTAAGAAATTTTTGATTTGTGACCGACAAAGATGTGACCAATAACAATTTTGATTTCGTGACTTGTAAATTTTTTTATTCGTGATCGAAAAATAATATGTGACTTATAAAATTTGTGTTTGTGACTTATAATTTATTGAGTTGTGATCGAAAAATTAATCTGTGACTTACAAAATTTTTGATTCTTGATCGAAAAATAATATGTGACCTATAAATTTTTTAATTTGTAACTGAAAAATAAATTGTGACCAATAATATGATAAGTCGTGATTAAAAATTAATCCGTGACTAATTATTTTTGAATTTGTGACCAATAAACAAACTGTGACTTACAAAATTTTTGAAATGTGATCGTAAAAAAATTTGTGACATAAAATTTTTAATTTGTGATCAAAAAATAATAAGTAACTAATTATATCGTTAATTTGTGACCAAATTGTATAGATCTGTGACCTAAATATATTTAATTAATAAAATAATTAATTAACTAATTAAATTATAAATAATTTTTAATAAAAATATAATTTTAAAAATTTGAAACTTGTTTTCTTGTTTTTGAAATGTGCCATAATTAATTTCTTAGTTATGAAATTTTCCCTTTTACAATACCCACAACTTTAATCAATTTTCGTCAAAATCTACTAAAATTTTAATTTTTATCTAAACAAATATCAGCAAATACAGGTTAGAATCATTCAGCCTGCAAGCAGCAGAAAATGTAAATGAACTTAAAAGGCAAAAGTAAATAAAATGTTTGACAGGTGAATTGAACAGCATCAGAAAGAATTAAGCTCAGATCAAATTCTTTAAAATTTATTTTTTCTCAAACTCATTTTTAGTTACACGTTTTCTCTATAAAATAATTTTGCTCACAGGCCCATAATTTTTTCCTACTTTTCAACCACATGTTCCTTGAAAAAAAAAAAAAAAAAATCAATTTCCACATAGTCTTAAGAAGAAAGAGAATAGAATCTATTAACTACAGTCTTGTACGATACTGTATACTAAATATATCCTCATACCTCATCCTGCACACCTAACCCTAGACAGAAAGAGAACTCTTGTTTCTACAAACATATATCATCCATATTTACATCTACAACATCTATAAAATCAACATAATTTGATTTTTTTATTTTTTTGCAACCAACTGTTAAATTTCTTCCTACTATTTAATATGCAAAATTTGTTGGATGGCATCCTTTTTAACCATCTGGATTCATCTTGTAACACGAGATCTAAATTTGGAGTCTTTTCTTTGCTGTTATAATTCAAACGAACTATGTCGAGGAGTTTCATCAGGTTGGAGGATTTACAAAGCTCTCGAAGTATTCTGATAAGCCTTCACAATAGCCAGCTCTTCTCCTCCTGGAGTAGAACTATCAACAGTTGAATTGTCTACTGTGGGAAATTTCCCACAAGGCACAATCTGAAAGGACACGAACAGTAACTGATAAGAGATCATTACAATGTTCAGCTGCGTTTAGTACATAAAACAATTCAATTCTACGCATTACTTGATCGTGGTCTGAACTTTCCACTAATACTCTCTTCAATCTTTTGGCCCGAGACGAAATATTTGGTTGGTTGTTTTGACAGCCCTCATCCACAAAATTTTGACCTGTACCCTCTGAAAGATCCCGGACTATTTTAGTATTTTGTAACAGAACATTACAAAATAAAAATTACAGAAACTGAACTATATGGAGCATGTAAATCACTAAATTCGATTTGGAACCCATGCTTTTGGGAGATAAGGTTGTTATGCCCCCTTTCATGTGTCAAAACTTTTTCAATCAATATAAAAGGTATGGCCTTCCGGTGTCTCCTAATCAAAGATGGATAATTATCAAAATTAAATATTGGGTAGTAAAAAATGCTTTCTATTGAAGCTTCCTATGAATCATGACACTTTGCCGATGGAGTACCGAAGGCTGGCTCAATCTAGACTGCTTTTATCATTGACTAAGTTATTGTCAAAGACCCAATTTGCCATTTTATAAGAAGTGACCAAGATGCAAGGTATAATATATAATAGGCGAAAGGAGGTTACTTGCCACACTCCAATGAAAGTTAAAATGTCAAACAAGAGGGCGGAAAGAAATATTAACTGGCAACTCATTAAGCATCAGGAAAACGGAGATGATAAACTGGCCTCGGGTTGCAAATCATCAGTACATCAAACATACGCGAGATGCGCCATATGCAAGGGCAACATCGGGATTACAATTTAATGTCAAAAGGAGATGTTATCGTCACAACAAAGTGGTGGTGTCCTCAGTTACTGCTCTAAACAAAAGGTGATTCATAGGTAGCGTGGACATCCATGCTAAAAGGGGACTCATCAATGCAAAGCTGACATTTGATAATCCCCCGACATCTGAACCACCCTATATAAGTACTTCAAGTTTTTATTTCTACTTCTACTTTTGTTTTTTAGGAGCTAGTGATTTCATTTCTCCCCTTTTTAGGGATCGGGGGTTGTTGATTTCTCACTATCTTTCTATACCTATACTTTCATTTATCTCGACTTTGAAAATGTTGCTTCTGGTAGTGAAAATAGCTTGAATGACAGAACAATAGGATATGTTAACAAAGATGCAGATTACGAGCTTTTCCATCACCTATTCTGTGAAACGGTGTATAAAACTGAGAGGGGAACTGAGTCAATACTTGTGTGCACGAAATAGTGGCTCAACTCAGAAAAATCGTGAAATAATTGTAGGCTCCTAAGTCTTGACAGCAATGTGCAGTTAGAGTATGCAGATCAGACCAAAAGCACAGATTGGCAAACATGACAAATCCAAAAAATGAAATCTGCAGCAAAGGACGGACCAGGAAATCGAGCAGATGCTGAACAGTCAATAATCGAGTTTTCTTTAGCAATGATGTATAATGGAAATACTAATAAAATACAAAAGGCACAAGAGCGGGTGAAATAATTTTGGATCTTTTTTGCTAACGTGTGAGTTCTAAATTTCTAATTTAACGAAGGTAGAACCAACTTGTGAAGACAGAACTAGAACTGCTTGCAAGGCTTAATTTAATTTAAAAAGTCTTCTCTGGATTGACAAAATCCAGAAATTAAGAAATGTGGTTCAAAATGATCACTCTCAACCATGGTAACTAGGTGTCAGCAGCATCTGAATTGGGTTTACCATTGCTTGGAGTAACATTATATAAAAGACCAATCTGTTCCTGATTTTTAAGAAAATTTAATTTGAAATTTGAAGAAATTGAATTTCAAAGTAAGCATAGATAATTTATTTATCAACCTAAAGATTGGTCAACATAATTTAAATTCACTAATAAGAAAGAAGAAATTTCAAAAAGCAGATCATCAAGATCAACTAGTATCAAGATAGATGTTTAACTTCACTATAAGGATCTTGCTATATATACATCAAGATTTACATAAGGATTACATAATGCCACATGGTACTCTACCATTTGCTAGTTTAAAATACAATCACCTTTTTCATCTAATCTTTTTCCTCCACATCATTTTCGATAACCACTTATGTACCATTTTGACGTACAAATAACCAAATCTTTACGATAATATCTACCAATAGGTTTTCATGTATGGCTATTCATGCACGAATATACAATGCGACAGCTGATAGAATAGTACACCTGCATGCATATCCAGAAAAAACCAGCATGTCTGTATAGCTTATGCAGGAAAGGTGAAGGAGAAGATGGGAGAAATTTGTTTTTGCAGGCTATGTAACAAGGAAATTATATGGAAGCCTAGTTTATCTTATACGGTTTTAATTGTCCTGCTCTCCCTCCATCCACATTATTGGATAGGGGAAAGATTAGTTAATATTCCCAATATAGTATTGACAAAATGAAGAAATATAACAAGAACTCAGACTATTGTGTAGTCATAATCAAATTTTGAAAAATAACATAAAATACCACCACCTTAAAAATGAGAAATGTAAATAAAAAACAATCAATTGCGTCAAGGTTAAGTTCGATTCACCTGTCAGGAATTCTTCTTGCCGCGAACATGTTTCTAATCCTTGGGATGAGACTCGTTTCCTGATTAAGGGTTTATCAGCATTTTGAAGCTTCAGAGATCCTTGTATATCAGCTGACGGCAAAGGACTTTGTTTCCTCTTTTGTCTGGAACCATGGGAATCAGTTGAGGTATGCAAAAGCGGTTGTCCCCTTTCATAATTGATCTTTTGCGAACAGCCATGCCATAAAATGGAAAACTGAGAAAATAAATGACCAGACGTATTTCTTATTTAAAAGGCATTGCACATAGCTATGCAATCAGGAAGAGAATGTGACAAAAAATACATATAAAAAATGGACTTCATATGTTTTAGGTCCTCAACCTGCTCAGAAGTATAACGGACACTGGAAGGTTTCTTTTGAGATACGTTGATCTCACTCTTGTTCTGCTCCGAGCATTTAGCACGAAAACCCATTGACTGATTCAACTGTTTAACAAATGACACTTCCAAATGATTAAGGTATAAGTTGTGCTTCTCATTGGTCCATGCTCTACAATTATCCTGGAAAAAAGGTGATATTTAAGACGACTTCGCACTTCTACAGGCAAACTCTTATTCAAGAACAGATAAAATGGTTGTATATCCATGACAAATAATAAAATCTATTGAAGTATTTCGAATATTTTGTTCGCTTTTGCCTTCTTGCGTGAGAGTGATATAACTTTACAGGATAAGGCTTTGTTGAGTTGAGTTCATCATGTAAAATTATAATTTCACCTGTGCAAACACCATGTCCTCATGAATATGGAAGCAATCATGTGACTGACATCAATGAATACCAAAGTTCACAGCATCATCAAAAGACTTAAGTTACTAGAGATTTAGGGATTATCGCCCAAAGACTTTAAAAAGGAATTTTTCCAGTTGGAATTTGGAAACATTACTAAGCTTCCCTACAAAGTCAATAAAAATGCAAAGATTTCAATACCAAAATTAGAGATATAGTTAGCCAAGAATTAATAGGCACCCTTTGTTACAGTTTTTATTTTTTATTGTATTTTTTATATTTTATTTATTTTGAGTTAGTCAAAGTTGCAGCAGTGGGTTGTTGTATGCAAGTCTCTTTTCATTATTTTAAGGGATTGCGAGTGATAAGGAGCAAAGATGTACTCCTTTAGTTTTAGGACAATTAACGTATGTTATTTTCTATTTGAAGTCTAAGCAAGAAAGAATTGAACACGTCATTGAAAGAAATACTTCGTGCAAATGTGTGTTTGTCTTGGGAGGTTTACTTTTTCCATGGAAACCAATACTATTTGGGAGGTCAAGATTTCATCAAAGTAAAGAATGTTTGACGTTCCTATAAATGAAATGCAAATGTGTGTTTGTCTTGGGAGGTTTACTTTTTCCATGGAAACCAATACTATTTGGGAGGTCAAGATTTCATCAAAGTAAAGAATGTT